CCTACTGTCAGGTATGGTGGTGCAACACAACAAAAAAAACCTAGCAGGATCTCTTCTTGCTCTCTCATCCAAAACAGTACTCACAAATTAGAAGCTTGGAATGAATTGAGAATCCATCAAAATGACAACCAGACAAGGTGCAAATACACATCACAAATTCCTACTCCAAACTCAAAACTTGATCTTATTAGCATCTCCATCTTGCCTACCAAGTCTTAACTGAGATAAAGCCATGAAGCTCCAAAGCCAGCATCATTCTGCAGCACCACTGTCAGCTCAACTCAGTCACATCACATGCATACTGGGCCTCATCTAGCAACAACATAACATTACATGTAAATCAAGCTAAAAGAGCTCGTCAACATATTCTATCGGACATCTAAAGATGAGATATTTGTAATCCAAGTTCATGCTCTCATCTAGTAGCAATGTTGTCCAGAAAAATGAAAATGAGATGTTATTTCGACATATCTATTCAGAAGTAGAAAATTTTCACATATAAGAATGGAACATTAAAAGCAAATTCTAACCAACATGCATCAGATGGGAAGAAAGGGACTGCAAGATGTTGCAAAAAAATTCACATGAGCAATAATTTAAGACAACACAAACATAAAACGGACAAAGTCTTTAAGTTGCTGAATCCATAAAACTTATATTGCTCAATTCTCCACAACTTACTGCAGAAAACATAGCGTAAGAAGTGCCTTCCAAGTAAGCCACATTTGGTTTAAAACTACCATTATTCTATGTGAATTACCAATTAGATCTTAATATAGATCACTCGTACAAAACTCCAATTCTGTTTATCAAACCGTTAAAATATTCAACCTTCATATATTAAATTTGGAATGATTAAACAAAATCACAATTCTTAACATGAGTAAAGGATATCAATGGACAGTGTAACATCCTTAACCTACATATTATATTAAATTTGGAATGATTGAATAATCCCATCTTTAATTCAACCTAAATATTATATTCAACTTCATGGACACTGTTTGCAATTTGATATTCATGAAGTTGTACAAGAAAAAGAAATGAGATTATTGTAACATCTTTACTCGGGAAAAAACACTAAGCAAATCTTTACAAATATCAAATTGCAAATACTGTCCAACATGCATTACAAAGGAAGAAAAAGCCACAAGATGTTGAAAAAAACCTTCACATGAGTAATAACTTTGCATGACACAAACGGAAAGGGAACAAAGGTCTTGAAGTTGTAAAACCCATGAAACAATACTCTTTTCTACTGTTCCCTTCTCCGTTGCTTGCAAGCTTAAAAAGCGACTTCCATATAAACCACTTTTGGCATAAAGAATACCAATAATTCATGCGAATAATTGATGAGATCTTCATATCAATACAAAATATGATAACCTAAAGATGATTCGTACAGAGTTTTAAGTCTATTCATCTAATTGTTAAAACGTTCGACCTTCACACGTCGTACTCAGAATGATCAAATGACACAAAATTAGGCACTTGATAACACCAGAATAAGAAGTAAGAAGAAAGGTGCCACCTTTTTGAGATCTTCAGAGGATCAGAAGCAGCAGGAACAGTCGAAAGGGCAAAGAGGGGTTCCCCCTGATTCCGAGTTCCCCCAACCGAGCTCCTCGGCCGAGTAAATGGCGAGACCGTCCCCCGTTTTCCTCCGCCGCGCCCGTGCCTCGGAGCCTTCATCCAAAGACACTTCCCGCCTCTTCTTCGTCTTATCCTTCGTCTTCTTACTTCCACCGCCCTCCCCCGTTCCCTTAGCCTGCTTCTTTCCTTTCTCCCGTGCTTCTTCTTCGCCCGCGGCGGACGTCTTGCTCTTCTTGGCCTTCTTTCCTTGGAAAATCTCATCGATCTCGTTGCCCGGCTTCTTCTTCCTCTTCTTCTCCCCAGCCGTGGCGATGGGTTCTTCTTCGGATTCCTTCGACTCGGGCGGCGGCTGCGGCTTGCTCTTCTTCGTAGTCGCCATTGGATTGAAGGTCGAGAAAGTATCGGGCAATGCGACGAGGGTTTCGATTCGGGCCGCCGTGGCTCTCTCTCTCTCTCTTATATAAAATGCGAAATTAGAATGTTTACATACTCAAAATAGATAGGCCCGTTTTAGTTACCTGCTTTGGGATTATAGGAAATCGTGGTCCCCCACCGAACCAACTCACAGTCTGAGAGCGAACCCAAACTTGATCCGACCGGGCACAGACCGGCAGTAGCAGTCACAACACCATCGGTTCGGGTTCGGTTTCGGTTTCGGTTATAGTGGATTCACTTAAAATGTTCGATCTAATCTAATTCGCTTAAGCGGATTAGCTTCGTTCGACCCGCATCCAAACTTATATGGTTCAAGCTGAGTATGGATTTAGTAGTTCTACTATCCACCAACTGTAATCTTAATTCTTCTTATAATTCCACCTCTTCGACCATCTGTAATTGGTGCAATACGGTGGTACATGCATTGATTATACGTTGTCGTCCATTTCATATGCAAGAGATTTAGTGGAAATTATCAAAGGTAAATCTTTCCAAATGTTTATAACTTAAATTGAAATCCCTGTTTAATCTTTATTTTTCTTAATTTTAATCCACGTTAGAACTATTATTAGTATTATATTGATTTAGACTTTGAAGCATGATTTCTGACTAAAATAGTGGTGGCATTGGCCAAAGAGAGTCTTGTAGAACTCCCCCAATATGTTCATTGCTATTACACTCATCAGATCCAAAGCTCATTTGCTCAACTTCCTGAAACATAAGCTACTAGAATTATAAAACACTCAGCATACAGAGTACCAGGGAGAAAGGAAGAAACAGAACCATTGTTGGAAGCAAGAAACCAGAACGATCTATGTGCGTCTGCCAGTCTCGAAGGCCATCTTATAATTACAACTCACAAAAAAGTAAAAGAACACACTGATATGCAGTTTGAAATCTTATGGAAAAAAGGCAAAATAAATACCATCAAAAATCAAAAGTAAACTACAGATCTAGATTAGCTTCTTCTTGTGAAAGTACCCTTTTAGGTGCCGCAACTGCAAAACAGAAGCTACAATGCATAGGGCGAGGGACATAACGCTGAACAATGCAACTCGACCGTTCGTCCTCTCACTAACATCCCTCATTCCTGCTTCCCTGATTCCAGATATCGAAATGGATGATTCATGAGTTGTATGCAACTGGAAAGACATCTATCAACATAAAGATGTGTGTTGGGGTTTTGATGTCTACCTGCTCCTGAGATACAACAAATTTTCATGGATCACCTCGACAGCCTCTTCTAATTTCCTCAGCTCAAGCTCGAGACCCTGTGCAAATTCAGGAAAAAACTATTAAAAGAATACTGTAACCTCATGGCATATGGGTAATTTACAAATTTCCTATGCTCGAGTTCAAGACACTTTGCAAATTCAGGAATAAACTATTAAAATAATTTTTTTACTTCAGAACATATTGCATAGTTTAAGATTAGCTCTCACCTCAATTTTTTCCTTTTTAGCAACTGATTCCCAGTCCTTTGCGGCAATCCCGATCTTCCAGTTGATGCTAACGGATGCTCCAATGCCCTTGTTAGCACCATCGAGCCAGAAACATGCCAGATATGTCCCTGGTTCATTGGTGGTAAAAGCAAATTCGCCCATCGTAACATTTTCTTTGTGATGAAGTGTGTCCCCGTTGGGTGCTGTCACCTGAAAATGAACATTAGGACTAAAACAACTTGAGGTTTTGATAATGTTAGCACCATTTTTTCTCCAGAAATTATAATTATCACTTGATTTCCTAGTGAAACGACTTCAGGTTTCGATAATGTTAGATCCATGATGTCCAACACACACACTTGCATATATAACATTAGGACTAAAAAGGAGAAGAAAATGAATGTATAATGGAGGAGTTATGGCCTGTGTCTTTGAGGAGCACTTTGTGCAGTGTCTCCTCATAGGTGAATAGCCTGCATTCTTATATTCATTGTTGCAAGTAGGCAGGGCAAGGATCATATCAATTACATTAATGTTCTCTTTCTTTGGCGTGAATTGGAATGCATACAAATTTTGAGTACTCATTACAAATTAAACCCATTAAAGGTTGACAATGAGCTCTAAACATTGTACATGGTTGTAACTTGTAAGCATGCTTTTTTCGTTACTATAAATGCTTCTGCACTTATTTTCTAAAACAACAAACACACTATACATCTACGCGGACAACAAAAAGATGTTTTCTGTTAGAACACTTGTTGCGAAACTACATCACAGACAGTCAGCTTGCTCTATAAACTGACGTATTGGCAGAAAGCAAACTTAAAGAACTTGCTCAATGTGCATCTGTAATGAAGTTGCTCAAAGAGTAACTACCAAAGAGAATTGCGGGGATATTTGCACAATCCAAGCTCATGTTCTATCTAATGATCAATCACCTATTAGAATGAGGTACCCCCAAATTCATGACTATAATTGAACAACAGGAAGAATATGGTGAAACATATCGTTTGGAAATAAAATAGGAAAGCAGGAAAAAGAATGAACAATCGCATGTGCCATCTTAAAACTAGATTGGCGACCGATTCAAGTCATCAAAGGAGCCAAGGAATTGCAATTCCTCAGACACCCAATTGACTCTAATTAAGTTATCCACCAAAACAATGGCTCCCATGATATTTGCCGAAGAAGGATTACATGCATGATTCTAGAGATATGCGACTATGGACATATCTCCTTATCTTCTTAAAAAGAGTATCCTCCTGCTGAAAAACTCCAGCTGAATTTGCTCGCCACCTAAACATTAATCTCCGATCCTATTATATATATTGTCGAACAATCGTTGTATAATCTGAAAGAAACGGAGGTGGTAAACCAGATCTTTAACAACGGGCCACTATATTCATGGCAAGAACAATAACCACAGCGTAAGATTTTTAATGTGTCGTGGAACCTAAGATGATCCAAGATTTCATCTTTTTCTTTGATATAGGTATACCCTGTTTCAGGTGAAATCACCATCTAAGTTCTTAATCCAATTGAGCCGCCTCCACTCTCTGTCACCAAGCTAACAACTACAGAAAACCTAAGATTTCGAACAAGGATACACGGGTATGTATCAGAAAGGAACAAATCTAGAATTCGAGAGGCAAAGAGGCGTCAAGCTCGTAACTAATCGGGAATGAAGCGACGGAAATGAAGGGAGGTATCACCTTGGCGGAGATGGTAGGCATGCTTTGAGGATCGTCATCATGGACGACGGCGTAGTCGGCCAGGGCAACGACGCCGGCGTGGATCTCCTCCGACACGCACTTCGTGGCCGACGGCGGCAGGCTCAGCCACAGCGCCGCCGCGGTAGGCGGTCCAGCGGCGAGGATCCAGGCGGAGCATAGCAGCACCGCGATGGCCCGCAGGATCACCGCGTCGTCCCTCGTCCCCATCCGTCTCTCAACTCACGCTCTCTCTCGCTTGCTTCTCGTTGCGAGTAGTTTTCGTTGCGGAACGAACTCTCCCTCTATATATGTATATGACTCGAGCGCAATCGCAATTGGAAACGCCGATGTCGATGAATGGGTCAGGTTAGATCAAGTCACAAGCGAACCAATCGAGAGCAGGATTATGGATTGAGCTCGCTCTCATACTGCAATGTATGAGAAAGTCTCGAGATCAAGTCACGTATATGTCGCCTTTATGGTTCATGGAGGAAGTCTCCACAATAGTTTCATCAATGAGTCATGTTGATATAGGCAAATGATAAATATTGAGATTTGATTCTAAGTAAACATCATAAAATTAAGACTTCGATTGTTTCAATAAGAAACTATAAAAATTGAATCTTATCATCATCATTTATCTTTACCAGCTTTGAGCATCACAAAATTGCTATTTACTGAAACTTGTATGAGCATCTGCAACAGAGCTTGTCATCTATAGCTTTATAGTAAGTAGTATTGGAATTCAAACTAGCATAGAAGCCAAAGTTCCACCTGTTTAGCTGCAGGACACAGAGCAGTAAAAACTAAAAATTTCTTGCATCTCTCTCATGTAAAAGAAATTAGTAGCTTAGCAATATCCAGTTCAGTGAAATCAATCTCAATTATTCTTGTACATTCTATGCTGCAGATCAAAGGAAAAGAGGAAACATTGGTGGAAGCAGCCAATGAAAGAGTTGCTCAAAAGAGAATGTCATTCAGCAGGTCTCACTGGTAGTCCAAAGATACATATATTTCCATATGTTTATCATACTATGAGGATGACAGCTAAATTATACAGACACACTCAAATGGTACAAATAAATCATGAAGCTAATAGAAACTCGGCACAAGGAGGCCATAAATGCAAAGTATTATCTTCTACTGGTGTTCTTTTAACCAACAAAGAGACGCGAGAGGTGATTACAAGAAATATAACTTGAATAAAGTGAACATGCAACAGAATTATCGGCATCTTAAGCTCTCTGATTTAGTATCCGCAGCAAGAAAGAATACAGATGTGGCATGACTAAAAAATAAGGGTATAAAACTGATATAAGAGAGAAGAAGTGATGGAGACAACTGATGGTATTACCTATTTATTGAAAAAGTTATAGTCAGTAGGCAAGTGTCTCAGAATCATTAAGATGGTATACAAGTTTCTTCTTAGAAAAACTAGCCAGGAAATGACAAGAAGTCCACATTCTTATAAGTGGTTTAACCCTAACAAAAGCAAGCTACGAGGTTCAAGCGCAACATCAACAATGAGCTTATGTGTAACAAGAAGTGAACAATCAACACCATTAATATCTCTATGATAATTTTCCAATGAGAAAAGAGCACAGATAGCCCAGGAGAGAGGTAAATGGTTCAGAATGAGAAGAAAGAAACAGAAGGATGTGTCTCAGTTTCAACTTTTTTGATCATTTGTGCAGCATAACGACGAAAGTGATTGAAGTAGAGAGAAAGGACGATGATGCTATGAAAAAGGTAGCTTATTGGTCCAATAGTCCATATGTAATTGGCTTTCAAATGTGCTCCAAAATACTTGAGCGCAAGTTATAAATAGTTAGCAATCAAGTCATACACCAAGGCAACCTTTTAACACTGTGATGCCCGGCTAGGAGGTGACACGACCAAACCAAGGGTTTGGTATTTTCTTTTCAGGTAAGTCTAGAGAAATAGACAAGTGTTGGCCAGATGGTTTGTGAATTTAGTATGCTAATGAAGGGAGAGGAACATAACTGGATAGCAGAAGATTCATGTCAATGTGCTGCAGAATGTGGCTAGGTTAGATAAGTTATGGAAAAAAAAGAAACAGGATGAAACTATGACTCTGAAGTAAGATCTCTGTCTTAATTGTTGTCAGCTACAAATCCACCCGTTCACCTCCCCTGGGATTGTTTTGCTATATTACCATTACTAGTTATATCAACTATGTGCCTCAACAACAACAACAACAACAACAAAGCTGTACAGTCCTAACTACCATGCATGTCAAATTACCAATTCCCTCTATAGATCTTGCACTTCACGATATTAATTTGTTACAACAAAGAAATAGCAACGATAAAAGCTGTAACACTTGTCTGCAAATGACAACTTAAAGAGAATTCCTGATGGATATCACAGAGTCTATCATCTGTTGTGTGAAACAATATTACTCAAAACACAAAAACCTAACAGATCATGGAATTCTACCCATCACTCATGAAACTGATACAAACAAGAATCTGAAATGTGTGAGGATAATGGATTAAAAATTTAATGCAGATGATAATATATGAAAACATGGGCTGATTATAGCTGGCTTAGTGGTGACAGCAGTAGTTGAAGCATAACAAATAGAAAATGATGACAGTGGTATAATCATAGGCCAAAAATGTAAACTTGCCAATTTACTATCATTCAGTTCTTACAAAGACTTTCCTTTGGCCCATTCACCGGATGCAAATAATGCGTATAGATAAAGAAATCAATGAGATGACACTCAAATTTGGACATGCGCTGAGTCCTAAATCAGTATTTCCAATCATGAACCAATAAACATTGCCAAACCATATGTACTCAACCATTACACAGAATGTCTAGTCTTCCCTACCAACATACTTGCTGCAGCATATCCCATTGGAATTCATACACAAGGCAATATCAAAATCCACAAAGGTAAATGCAAAGAGCCTGTATAAGATTATATTCAAGAACTTCATAAGCTTGATTCCTCAAGAACATAACTTAGACGGCGCTCAACATCAAATACCTTTCCATTAGAGGAATAACAGAACAAGCAACCAAAGTGTGGAAGTCATTGGACGTAGAACAAAAAATAAGAATGAATACAACTTGCTGGTTAAAATATACTATTTTCCTTTTTCTCTTTTATTTATAGAAGCATTCAAACTGGTCTACATACCCTTATGCGACTCATTCAACAACGCGAAGATGTCCCTGCACGCCTTGAACCAATCCGCCTGGAACTTCATCTCATCATCCAACAGCCTCTTCCACTTCCCCTCCAAAGCTTTTGCCTTCGAAGGATTCAGAAGCTTCAGACCCACCTCCAACGATGCATTTGACAAGCTATGAGCTTTCCAATGCTCCGCTGCTGCATGAGCCAAATATGGGTAGGACTCGCATCCACCTCGCTGCTCTTCCTCGTCTCGGCCTTCCTTCTCCTCGTGCTCATCTTCCCGTTCCATCTCCGCGTCCTGACTCTCCGCCTGTTCCTCATGCTCATCATCATCAGTGTCATTCTCCTGCTGCTGCTTCTTATCCTCCTCTTTCTTGTCCATCTTTTCCTCGTCCGCCGGCCAGATCTTGGCGGCAAGTTCATGGAGGATGCCGTCATGGGGGCCGTGACCGCTGGCGGCGGTCTGGCTGAACTTGTGGCGAAGGTGGCGGAGCTTGTTGTAGACCTGGTCCTTGGTGAGGGGAGCGCGAAGCAAGCGGCTTACGGATTCGTAAAATGCAGGCATGTTTGATTTCGTCGGCAGTAGGCCCGTCCGGTGGCGGAACTCGAGGACTCCCCGGAGAAGCGCCACGGAATCGTCATCCACCACCCGCCGCTGGCCAGGATTGGATCTCGCGGATCCGGCACCAGGAGAATTCTCGGCGGCCGGGCCCCCTGCCTTTCGCTTCCGCCGGTCCTTGGGGTCATCGGGGGGAGGATCTCCGGGCATTGGATTGGAGGATTGGGTTTACGCTTACTGGCGGATTGAGTGGGGGTTAGGGTTTGGCGCTTGGAAATAGAAGGATATATATAAGATCGGCCAGCTGTGGAACTACCGAGGAAGTACGTATGTGTCATGGTCGGCCAAACCATGGATCTTTAGGATGGTGATGGATGTCGTCGAATGAGGATATATACGTATGTTCGCTTTTACATTTATATCCTTACATACATCGGAAAAAACCAAAGTCAACATCGATATATAAGGGTTAAAAATGTATCTAAAAATATAAAAGGATAAATTCTCAGAAAAAAAATTAATTTTTTTTTCTAGAGCCCTCTTTTTGTTTTATTCATATATAAATTTTTTTTTTTTTTTAATAATCAGATTATCCTTGATCTCCATTCGTTATGTCCATCAATTATTTACCAATGTCATCGTCAACTTGTTCATCTCCTCCACTCTTATTTTCATCTATTATCTTTAAGTGTATTTTCGTTATTGTTGCTCTTGCAAATGTCCTAATTTATCGATATAGTTGTGCTCTCGATATAGTTGTGCCCCCTTCATCTTCGTTGTATCATATGTTATTGCTATTGTTTCTCTTCTCATCTCTAATGTCTCTATTGCACACGAACTTTAAGGAGGGTATTCTTAGCCGTTTCATTTATTGGATTTTAAGCTCTCGCATTGAAGAAGCACGTCTTAGATCACTTCTACCCCTCATTGTCACTTAATTAGAAAGCATAGAATAGTTTGGGAAGAAGACATTAGTAGTGCTTAACATAGTGCACCATGCAGAGAAGAAAGGAGGAGGAAGCCTATCATTGTCATCCCATTCCTCTTCAACTGAGGTCGACAATCACGATTTATGAGGGCTCGACAATTTATAGGATGGGTGATAACACCATCACTTCCTTGCCCTGGCTGCGTGCACCACCTCAACATCATCAAGCAATGGAGGAGCTCACGATAGAACGAAGGTGACTATATGGAAGTAATGAGACAAAAGTAACAAAGATGATGAGAGGTAAGGTAACCATGACGGGACAAAAAGACTTTGGTAATCTCCACATTTAGAAAAAAAGATAAAATAAATAAAAAAAGTTGTTATAAGAAAAAGAAAAAACTTAGATTTTTTTGAAAAAATTATCTAATATCTAAAAGACCCTTAATATTATTTTAGAATGATAGTAATAATAGAGTTTCATTAATAGTCAACTTATATAAACAAATGAAGATTAACTATATAATTTTAATTTTCCAAGGGATGTATGCATATATACATATATCAAATTAAAAATTAGAAAATTAATATCTAAATCGAATGTATACATACATACAATTTTGTCTATGTATACATCCCAAGCTACTTATCAAAATTTCGAAGGTACATCCCAAGCTAAAAAGCATCGAGATGACGGTGCAGACTTGAGGAAAGCACTTGAACACTGCTAAAAGGAGAACTTCCATCACTTTCATCTTCATCGCCTGCCAAGAAAGCATGTAAGCATAAACCTTCTTACACTCGAAGAAACAGAAAACTATATCAAAATATTTGCACTGTAATATTTCAAGGAGCAGAATGGATGAACACTCTTGCTGTTGCAAGAAGCAGAAAGCAAGCATGCTGTAGTTATTCAGTTAACAGAAATTGATGGAAGTGGATTTCAAGAAAAGCTGAAGGAGGCAGGTTGAAAGAGCTCGACAATAGTAGATCTAAACATTTCAACATGTAAGTCCACTAAAAGTTAATACTAGGAATAGCCTCTGAGTTCCCAATTGGGTTGCTCAGCAATGACAATGGTTAGATGAATGCTTAGATAAACTACATTTTGCAACATATGTTAAAATCGACAGTTGTCTGCAATAGCCAATGTTCTTGTACCACTCCAATTACAAGATAAGTGGAAATGGCAAGCAAAACAGTCATTTTTACTGCAGTGGTAGCAGGAAGAAAGCCACGAACGGGTTGATGCCTATGGTCCTAACCCAATCCAGAATCTTTCCCCGCATCGAAATCATCACAAGAAAGCCATATGAGGTTCAAGATCCCATTATCATCCCCCCCGATTTGAAAACAAATACCACATGAGTGTCCATATAGACACTGTGGAGTACCACCTCCCACCTTGAGGCAACATGAAGGTTCAAGAATGCCAAGATCACGACTTTTCCTAATTTGATAGCTTCTCTGGTCTTTCCCAGGTTGAAATCAGCACAAGAAAGTCCCATTAGAAGCCCAGAGCAGCGGAAACTCGCATCGAGCGGGGGATGCAGCAAGGTTCGAGACGCCATTTCTCGTCGACGCAGCAAAAGAGATTGGAGGCTCGAAAGCGATAGGAATGCAGTCGCCAAACAAACCGAAATAGAGAGGGACTACTACTTCCAAGATCCAGGAAACCTAAAACGAGTCGAGACGGAATGGAAGGGGAAAGGGCTGACCTCCTGACGGAGAAGTTGTGCCAGGAGAGGGTGGCCGGCGGAGAAGCCAACGGCATCGCCCCCACAGTCCGTCGCTGCCCCTTGGACGGGCCCGCGGAGCGCTAAAGATCGAATCGTTCGCTGAAAGGACGACAAGAGAGCAACCCAACGACCAACTTCTTGGGAGAAATCGAGGAGTCTCAGAGTGACCGCTAGAAGAAATAAAAAAGGCATCTTTGCAAGTCTCCAACGGTCAAAACTCAAGCCTACTATTATTATAATTATAGCCTTCCTGTTTTTAGTCATCAAACTTCGAGCTTTGGGGGCTTTTTTGGGAATTCGAATCCACCGTGGACTGTAGTGGAAGCTAAAAGAGGCAGTGGGAAGGGAAAGACGAGACGAGAGCGACCCGCTCGTCGTCTTCTCGGATCCAGAGAAAGGAGGGGAGGAGGAAAGGGGGAAACCCTCGCTTTCTTGTCCGTCGCGGTAAGATCTCTCTCTCTCTCTCTGGGGTAATGGTTCCCTCCGCCGCCTTTTCTTCTATGCTTATTCTTCTTCTTTTGTTTTTTCGTTTCGATCTATGCTCATGTGTAGATCTCGTTCTCTTTTCTTCCTACAAGAACTTAAATTGATTTTTGGATCATGTTTGTAGTCGACAGCTGCTGGAATTTTTGGAACTTGTCTTTGGATTCGAGATTATCATCTAGATTTTGTATGTATCGTCCATTAGGGGTTTTAGTTACTTATCAAAATTTCTTACGGCATCGTGACATAGGCAGCAAGGAAACGACATGACATGGGCAAGCTTGCATCTTTCGAGTTGTGATGGTTGTTTGAGTCGTGAGAGGACTTGATGTTGTTTTATATATTCGCAATAGAGCTATTATTCATAAGCCTTACTTGAGGAGCGGTTAATCTATTCAAATATCGATTATTCATAACCATGGCTGTTGCAAATCAATTGATGAGGGAAAGAGGATCCTCAAGGGCTCCTTTACCTATGGATGTCTGAGGAAAGGCATCTTGGGCAAAGAGATGTGGCTTTCGGTGTCACGTATGCATAGATGGTATAGAGGAAGGGAGAGAGAAGAAAGAGACCTTCCTGCCGATGGATGTGTAGGTAGGTGTCTTGGAGGCTTTCGTGAGTGCCATTGTTAGGATTGACTATCATGACATGATGGAAAACTGACCTGTTTACTTGACTAGCCTTGAGATCACGTGTCCCAAAATAAGCCAAGTTTGATGATAATAAATTCATCTACCTCTGTTTTCCTACTTTCAATGTGAAATTAAATCATTAAGTTGATGGATAAATTAAATCATTAAGTTGATGGAAAAATTAAATCATTAAGTTGATGAGTTTGATGCCACATAACCAAAATCCTTAAGCTCGAGCTAGTGACCATAAATCCATTTAAACCTGTATGTAGTGGCATCTACCCTCCCATTTTCAATGTGAGACTGAATCAGGCTATCACATTGATTATTCATGCATTTGGATATGAGAGCTGCTTCATTGGTGGGATGGATACCCTTTTTGTGGCATAAATGTTGATGAAACTAATAATTAAAAGTTTCTAACTATATTTTATAGATTTTTGGTGAAATGATCTTGCCTTGGTGGGTTGATTCCTGTTGGAATAATTCCAAAAATGTAGAGAAATATGTAAAGTATTTGTGGAATCTTTTGCAGAGTGTTTACAGGATAGTGTTCATTTTAGAATTTGTTTTATAGCTAACCATAATTAAGTGGAGAGGGTCTGCAACCTGACAACCAGAGTCCAAGATATTTGTTTATGTCAAGTCTGATTCATGTGAATATAACACGCTTAATGATGGTGTTAGCTCTTGGTGTCGATGATCCTTGGTTGAATTGCCCTACTTGGTTTGAGATCCAAGCCTTGTCGAACTGTGAGGGTTGACATAAATATGGTTGCCTCTCCTATAGGTAAGTCTCCTGACACGGTCCTTGATGTCCAAGTTAGGAATTTTGAGGTAGACTAGGTATATTGAGAAGAGAGAGAGAGAGAGAGTCTAACCTCGAGTGTAGCGTTGCCGTGCCCCTTTTGTAGCCGGACCTCTCTAACCGCAAGCGGATAGGATGGCATTCTTCGAATTGGAAGATATTCACCATTCTGATTTCTGCTTATGTGGCAGATTTATAAAGTTGCATTTTGTCCTTTTTGCCTGGCTGGCAGCCACATGCCAAACCTGACTAAGGGCATATATTCTCCTTGGCATTATGAATTTGTTCAACTTGGTTGTGTGTTGGCTTTATGCTTTATATTCCTAATGAGAGTACTATACATATATGTTATATACACTTCTCTGCAGACAAGGCAGTTAAAAACACATTATAATATTATTTTCTTATGCCATTCGGTCAGCTGTCAGCCTGAAAATAGGTCATGTAAAATATGCTTATCACTAAGTCAAGTGATCTATGTGCAGAACCACAGGCTACTTTATGCACAGAAAAGTGAAACATCGTATGTGTGCATGTCTGTTGCACTTTATCTAAAATTGCTTTTTTCTTTATCGTGCTTAATGGGATTATCATCTAAAGTGTTCATAAATCTACTGGCTGATGATATCTGGCTTGCAATGAAAATATGTGATTGTTAAGAATATTTTTAGGTTACTGCTGTTAAGAGTTTTTTTTGGTTACTGCCACAATCATGTCAGAGGGATATTTCAATGGAGAACCAAGATGAGTCTAATTAAGTGAGACATTTTATATTAGCGTGTGATTTGCATAACGATCATATTTCTAAGCAAAAAAATTTGAAGGTGTGTTTTACAATTACAGAAGGACAGAACATAGGCAAATAGATCTGGTTGATTTAGTCACGGACGGTTGATTAGGGGAATGGCAGAGGCTTTAATAGATTAGCTGTGACTAAGTCATGGTCAACTATCTGATAGTATAATTTACCATGGCAGTTCTATGGGGTTGAATGTTTTTCTCTGAAATAAATTGAATGATGAGAAACATCTTTCGTTAAATCATTTAAATTGGGCTTAACTATCTTTTTGGACCAATTTGGATAATAGTGTGATAGACCTTTGCTTCTGATGAAAGTTAATATGGATTTTGGATCACAAATGTTGATTGATTATATATCTATACCCCATCTATGTTGGCCATGTTGTGTAGAAATGATGTAATTTAAAGACAATTTCATCACGAGAGAAATTTCATTTGTTTCCGTCTCTTTATACAGTCATATTTAATTTTCTTCATTACCTTACTTTTTATGTATTCATTGACTCACGTAGGCATTTAGCCCTTCACTTTGGTTCTTTGGAGACAAACCAAAATGGCAGATGGTCATGAAACCGATAAGAATATTGAAATATGGAAGATTAAGAAATTAATCAAGGCATTGGAATCTGCAAGAGGTAATGGTACAAGCATGATTTCTCTCATAATGCCACCACGTGATCAAGTTTCCCGAGTCACTAAAATGTTGGGTGATGAATATGGAACTGCTTCGAACATCAAAAGTAGAGTCAATCGGCAGTCAGTGTTAGCAGCCATTACTTCTGCTCAGCAGAGGCTGAAGCTATATAACAAAGTTCCTCCGAATGGTCTGGTTCTTTACACTGGAACCATTGTCACAGAGGATGGAAAGGAAAAGAAGGTGACTATTGATTTCGAGCCTTTTAAGCCCATCAACGCGTCACTGTATCTTTGTGATAACAAGTTCCATACTGAGGCTTTAAATGAACTTTTGGAATCTGATGACAAGTTTGGCTTCATAGTAATGGACGGAAATGGAACACTTTTTGGCACGTTAAGTGGCAATACACGGGAGGTACTTCACAAATTCACTGTTGATCTTCCAAAGAAGCATGGGCGAGGAGGGCAATCAGCACTACGATTTGCTCGGCTTCGGATGGAGAAGCGTCACAACTATGTTCGTAAGACAGCTGAACTTGCCACCCAATTCTTCATAAATCCAGCCACAAGTCAGCCAAATGTAGCTGGACTGATTCTGGCTGGTTCTGCTGATTTTAAAACTGAATTGAGCCAGTCTGACATGTTTGATCAGCGACTGCAGGCCAAGATACTCAATGTAGTTGATGTTTCCTACGGAGGAGAGAATGGCTTCAATCAGGCAATCGAGTTGTCAGCGGAAATTTTGTCTAATGTGAAGTTCATACAGGAAAAACGATTGATAGGGAAGTACTTTGAGGAAATAAGCCAAGACACAGGGAAGTATGTCTTTGGTGTTGATGACACTTTGAAAGCTCTTGAAATGGGTGCTGTGGAGACTTTGATTGTATGGGAAAATCTGGATATCAATAGATATGTGCTAAAGAACAGTGCTACTGGGGAAATAATTGTAAAACACTTGAACAAGGATCAAGAAGCTGACCAGAATAATTTCCGTGATGCAGCTAACAATGCTGAATTAGAGGTGCAGGAGAAAACATCTTTGCTGGAGTGGTTTGCTAATGAATACAAACGTTTTGGCTGTACGCTCGAGTTTGTTACCAACAAATCGCAAGAGGGTTCACAATTCTGCAGAGGTTTTGGTGGCATTGGTGGTATCCTGCGCTATCAGCTTGATATGAGATCACTGGACGAATATTCTGATGATGAAGTGTACGAAGATTCCGATTAGAACACAGTATCTTATTACAGACATGGCTCAGGATATCTGCTGGTTTCTACCCCATGGCTGATATTGGCTCCCTTCTTTCTTTTCTAAGCATATAATGGCATGGTGTTCAAACACACTTTTTTGCGCAAGCTTCATCAGTTGGAGAAAAAAAGGATTTTAAGTGCATTTAGTTGATGAATTACTAGGTGCAAATGTCCAGCAGAGAATCACTGTTTGTTTTGTTCTGGTTGTGGTACTCAATGCATTTTTGGAACCTTTGTTTGTGTTATGTTTTCATTTTGCCACCAGATTGGTTTCTTGGCTGTTTCTTCACTTGAGATCCAAACATTTGCATTGACTTGAATGAACTACCTTCTATGGCAAATCATGATAGATCATGGGATACAAGTCCTGTTGATTTGTTGTGAGAATGTGATAAAAAGAGCACCCATATTTTGTTCCTGCAATTTAAGCAAATGGATCTTTTTTCATAAATTTATACCTAATTTGAGTGGATGCCAACTAATTTTGCTCTTTGATCCAATGCCACTAACTTTGATCTAATCT